TATCTTTGACTAATATTTAAATTTGTTTGATGATCTGAAACATTAAAGTGTGACAAACATGCAAAAAAATAAGAAATCAGGAAGGGGGCCAACACTTTTTCACACAACTGTACATGAGATCCATATTCACACCACTGATGGTTATCTTTGTTGTACCAGCCTATTAATTCTTTCTGGTTAGGAGACAGCAGCATATTACGTTGTACACTGAGGTTAACAAGAGGTCCATCGACTGTCATTTCATCAAAGTCAATATAGGCAGGCCTGTGCAGTGAATAGAAAAGGCAATTTAATGTTTAATAATATATTCTTAATTTATCTGGTTGTGTGTGATGATGATAATAATGCTTAATACTTATTAAAATACTGTTAAGATTATATATAACTTACCCTATGCTGAGGTTGATGGTGATCCCATTTGCCCCTGGCTGACAGTAATGAGCCTCAATGACAAAATCATTTAAGATATAACCCCACTGCTGTCCATTAAACAGCTGCCACTCGAAGTGATTACCTGAGGCTTTAAATGAATGGATGAATGACTGACTGAATGAATGAATGAAGGCAATGAAAATGAGCAATTAGTCAATCGCTCGGTATGGAAATTACTTTGGGAATGTAAAAGATCCTCATTAAGTTCTCCTACTAAAGAAACTGAAACCAACATAAAATGATAAATAAGCCAACAGACGTACCTGTTGCCATGCTGTTGTTAGATAATGCTGTTATTTCTTCCTGAAGTGTTTCCCTGAAGTGAGATTTTAATGTGACATTGAAACTTTCATTGTTCTGTTATTATAAATATTACTCTTAACATCTCGGCAAAGCAGTGTTGGGAAAAGTTATTTTAAAAAAAGTAATGCATTACAATATTGCGTTATTCCATAAAAAAAGTAACTATTGTGTTACTTTGTTACATTTTATGGAAAGTAATGCATTACATTACATTGGCATTAATTTTTGTTACGTGGCTTGCTTATTTATTTTTTAATAACAAGAAACCCAAAAGTTGTATGTTTGTCAACTGTAAAGGTCCTTTCACACTAAAAGTGAAATTAATAAGCCTCAGGCTGAAGAAAGTGACTCTGCCTTTGCACCTCACCAGTGAATAAATGGGAAAACGATTTGAAAATTTAAAAGTAATGCGTTCCTTTAATAGTTACTTGAAAAAGTAATCTGATTACGTAATTCGCGTTAATTGTAATGCGTTACCCCCAACACTGGAGCAGAGTAGGCTATGTGAAAAATGGCATACTGGATCAAACAGAATCAATCTACAATCACATGCAGAGGTGGACAGTAGTGAAGTATTTTTACTTTACGCAAGTAAATTTAAAAAGTATCTGTACTTTATCAGTGTTTTTCTTTGGAAAACTTTTACTTCATTCCAAAGCATAATGTCATACTTTTTACTGCAGTACATTTCATAAATAAAAGTTTTTTTCCCTGTTTTTTTTTACCTTTAATACTTAAGAACATTAAACATTTAGTACTTTCTTGTACTCAAGTAAAACTTTGAATTACTTTTACTTGAGTAAAAGTAAGAAAGTACTAGATTTAATACGAAAGGTAGTGCAGTAAAGAGTACAATATCATGCTTTGGAATGTTGTGAAGTAAAAGTTTTCTAAAGAAAAACACTGATAAAGAACAGACACTTGAAAAGTACTTTTAAAGCAGAGTAAAAATACTTCACTACTGTCGATTCAAAAAGGTAAATTACTGTAGAACAATTGTGTCACCTACCTAAAGCATAACTGCTGACATCATATTTAAGGTCATAATTCATAGCTCTTCTTGCTTAAATTCATCTTCGCACTTCTAAGCAAAGAGACATCAAAACGTTTGCGTGACATGTCAGTCGAACTTTGCCTTTCTATGAAACGTTTCCTGTTTCCAGTTTGACTAATGTACATTTTTGTAAAATTTTAAACGTTAGCCTATATCCAGTGGTGGACAGTAACGATATCAGATAACGTGTTAAAAGTATTAGTAAACGGCATAGTTCCATCTCAAACTAAATTAGGCGAATACAATTTAAAATATGTTGGAAAATCCTCTCGGAATGGTAACAGTGTAAACAGGGTTGACTTACCTATTTACATGAACATGAGAAGCTTTGAGCTCAATGTCATGAAACAATTAAGTAGAGATCTGCGCGGGACTGTTTTTTTAGTCCCGCTCCCGCAAGGTTATATTCCGCACCCACCCGCTCCCGCTATATATTCACTCTTTGTTCACCCGCTGTCCGCTTAGAATAATTTTCTTCCCGACCCGACCGTTCTCGCTAAATTTAGATCTCGTTTACAGAATCTCACATTTAAATTTCCGCTACTGAAAGAAAGAGAGATAGGCTAACAAATAAAAGTGTAGTCTTCACAAAATTGTATTTGTTATTTTATTCGTCTAGTCAAGAGTCTTGAATTTATTGACTTTGACTTGAATTTATATGAATTATCTTAAGGCAAAATTCGTTTAACATTTTATGTAACACAGAAAAAAATTGTCACAGAGAAAATAAAAATGTTGTACAAAAATTGTATTTCTTATTTTTATTCGTCTTGTCAGGATACAATTCGTTTAACATTTACAACAGAATAGGAAAAAGTGTCGCAGAGAGAAAAATAAAAATGTAGGTTGTACAAAAATAGCCTATTAGCTATTTTTATTCGTCTTGTCAAAATACTAAATTCGTTTGACATTGTTCTGTTAACACAGTAGGAGAAGTGTCTTAGAGAAAAATAAATAAATACGACATCGGTCATTTAAAATTATAGGCTAAGCAAAATCGTGATGCAGAAAGCATGCATGCAGCGCGTGCATAACAGTCCGAGTGCAGGCTGTACTGGTGGTCAATAAGAATAAAGCAGATATGCTGTTCTGAATGGATGTTGGGAACGGGATATTGTTAGACCGCCCGCTCCCGTTCAAATTACACCAGTTACCGACCGCTAACGCGTTTGGGAATTTAATCCTGCAGTGCAAGAAATCTGTTCGGGTCCCGCGGGAATGCAGACCTCTACCATTAAGTGCTTCATAGAAAGAAATGTAATGACGATATTTCGACATACACGTTTCAATTAGCAGTTATTTATTAGTTACTTACCATATAAAACGGCTGACATTTTAAGAAAGGAAGCCACTGACAAAACCATTTTAGCTGTTATTGGACGCTTTCGAACCTGTTCTTAAGGAATGTCGTGAAATTATTCATGTAAAACATGATTAGTCTACTTACCAAATATAGTTCCTAGACACTGGTATACATCGATAGTATATTAAAAACCTAAAAAATGTATTTGTCAAATAAACGTACTGTCGAATGTTTTGCTAGGACAGAATTTAAAATGTCCAAAAACAAGCTTCACTATGAATTATCAATGTGAACAAACTGGATGCCTATGCGTTATAGTAGGCGGTAATTAAAAATCTTTCAGTGCCTAAAGCGAGTGTTAAATTGCTTGTGTTAAATTCCCGTTTCTTTTTCGTTTTGCTCTAATGTGAATATATTATTGGGTGTGTCTTCAACCTTGGGGCACTTAGCTACCATTTCAATATTCTTTTTGAGAAAAGTATTTGTCAATTGTTCAAAAATTACCAGCACCAGCACACCCAATAGCCTAATGTTTTTAGCGTAGGCCTACTTTTTTACCAAAAACAAAACAGTGAATTTGCCTGAACTATGATATATTTAGGAGGGGGAAAAAAATCAATCAGTAAATTGATTTTTTTTCCCCCAAGTTGTAATTGTGTTAATTACTGAAAATTATTAACTATATGTATATTATACATACAATGCATACATTTAGAAAATGTTTATAACAAATCTTATCACCAAATGCTGTTAGACACCATACTTGTGATTAAAATGATCATGTGATTGGAATTCATTAAAATACTCTGTAGAAATGTTATTATTGGGTCAAAGAAGCGGTGTGAAATTGTGTGTGTGTGTAAGTCAAATAAGGCCACATTTATCATTTTATTTTATTTTTTTCCCATCAAGTATTACGGCATGCATATGATACTACAGACTCTTTGCATAGCATGTTGTTACTTCTAAGTAAACAGTTCAGTTTGTAATTAAAACTCACAGTAAAAACAGAATCACCCAAATTATTGTTTTATCATAATTTAGTCATTTGATGCAACATTGATTGATTGTACATATTGCAAATTTTTAATGTAAACATGCTGCATTTTATTATGTAGACGAAATACTTCCAAGGCACTCACGCGGTAAGATAAAAAGCCTTTAATGAACTGGGCTCAAATCATTACAACTAGTTAAAAGTAGATCTACGTGTTTCGGCAAAACCTAACAGTGTAGGTATAGAAAAATCAATTTCTTCATTAACTCCTGGGGACTTTAGTCGCCCGGAGCGTATGAATCCAAAAAGTCTCTCTTTGTAGAAGCTGTTTCTGTCTATTTCCACTTCTTATTGAACATGGGATAGATTCAATTCCAATCACTTTAAGGGAACTCTCAGTGACATACAACATGCTGCATTGTATATCGGATAATATTGTAGATTGTATTGCACATTGCTCAATATTCACACAGTATTACTGTGTATATCCCTGATTTTTTTTTTCTTTTCTTTTTTTAATCCTTTGAGCATGTCTCTGAATATTTAAATGCTAGAGATGGAGATTGAAACGGTCCAGCTGGAAAAACTTTCACAAGCAGTGTGTAAACATTGGTTCTCAGGCAGTTTCCAACAGGCACTTCATTGTAAATTATTGTAAAATTAAGCAGTATAATGCTTGTATTGTTATGGCACAATGGCTAGTAAGAGTAATTATAGAATAACCAAAAGTGATAGCATTTTAAAATATATAATTCTTTAAGATAAATAAACAAAATATATGCTTCAGGTTGCTTCAGACACGTGTCATCAAGCTGATGTGAGAAGCAGCTTTTAAAATCATTCATATTACCTTAACATTTGTCAAAATACCTGAATAAAGTCTTTGCATTTCTATTTTCCATGGACAGTTTACCAAATAATACAGTCATTCCAGATGATTAAACATTCAAAATCATAATCACTAACATTCATATCAATCAAAATCACTAAATAACGTTTTGTTTACTTCAATCCCAAATTCGACTCTTATTTGCTTGTTTGGATCTCGAGTACCACCCAACATCTTCTGCAAGACCTTGAGCCATCCTTATTACTTTTACACACGCCTGACCTTGCGTTCGGCCTTTGTTCTCTGGTTAACTTGACTCATCTCTGAATAAAAAGAAAAAGACAAAACAGCATCTTTTATTATATTCAGATCACTACTTTCATAATGCATTTTCAAGTTTGATTCAAGATAGTCATGTTTATTAACCCAAAGATCATGTGGCACCTTATATTAGAGACTAAAGAAGACATTTGCAATCTGTCAAATGTTTTTGCTCACATACTTGCAAAATCCAGAGCGTAACTGTCACCATTCACAGTGAAATTCATGGTTGTTGGGTTTTGTTGGTAACACTTCTCAATGTCAGCACTTGAGACTGAACAACCTTCCTGTTGAAAAACAATATCAAGATCAGTGACGATGATTTTAATCTCTCTGTGGCCATAAATACAGTAGTCAGTGTCATGAATTAAGGGATAATGTACATTCAGTCCATAATTATCACAAACTAAACCCTTACATGGTGATCAGGTTTGGTATTGTATCTCTCTGAAGGCTTTATATCAAAGTAATTACCGGTTGAATGTACACTATCCTGCTTATTACACTGCTATCAAATATATAATTACATGGTCATTGAAAAACTGGAGTTCAAATTTCCATACATAACGTTTGATATGTAATATTTGTATTTTGTTACAATTATTGCATTATTTTTATTGTACATTATCAAAAAGAATAAATTGTTGCTTCCTGATTTCAAAAGACGTCACAGATTAAAGGGGTCATATGATGTTGCTAAAAAGAACATTATTTGGTGTATTTGGTGTAATGAAATGTTTATGCGGTTTAAGGTTCAAAAAACACATTATTTTCCACATACTGTACATTATTGTTTCTCCTCTATGCCCCGCCTTTCTGAAACGTGTCGATTTTTACAAAGCTCATCGGTCAGAAAAAGCGAGGTGTGCTGTGATTGGCCAGCTATCCAGTGCGTTGTGATTGGCCGAATACCTCAAACGTGTGAAGGAAATGTTACGCCCCTCACCATACTGTGATGATGCCCTTAGTCTTTGCAACTTTAGGGATCTTATCTATTCACGAACAGCTTGTAACACTCCAAAGAGAAAGGAAAACTTGAAATCGCATCATATTACCCCTTTAAAGCGTCAAAAATCAGTCTGCCTAGCAACAACATGAACATTAACAATACAATATTATTAACAATATTATATTACTTTACATTTTATTATTGATCTGCCAGCCAAATTACTACAATTTCGTTAAATATATTTACTTCCTAATTCCTTATGTTTAATCGTTTTAACTGTTCTTCTGAAAGAAATGAGGAAAAACCAGCCTAACCTGGTTTGCTGGTCTTGGCTATTCTGGTCAGGCTGGTTAGAGGGGTTTTGGTTACCTTTAAGCTGGGAGTTTTCACCAGATTTGTCCCAGTGTTATTTTAGTATCACTGAGATTCTATTATAGTTTTTATTTTAATATTTTACTTTTTTCCCCCAATTTTTTATTGTCATTTTAATTTTAAAGTTTTAGTAATTTTGTTGTGTTTTTATGTGTGTTTTTTTTATCACATTTTATTTCAGGTTTGCTTTTAGGTATTTTAGTCAATCAAGTTAAACTAAATTAAAATTTAGTTTCATTTTAAACTAAATTTTAAGTTTAAAATTTAGTAAGTAAGTAACAAAGAAGTCCAAAAAATTCCCCCGAGTAAAAAAAGTCTTTGATTGGTTTTAGATTTAGTTAACTATAACCCTGCTTGGTCCAACTGGGACCAAATCTTAAACCAGCTTTTCAAAAAATATTACTGAAGCCCTTTGATGCTGTTTTTACTGCTTTCACTAAACAAATTATTATCTCTAACTTGCTTTTTGAAAAACACAGACACCAATGGTGATAAAAGACTCATAAAAGTAGCACCGGTGTATTGCTATCAATAATGATCAAATACTAATACTGTACAATTTGACAGTCATTATATAAAATATGACTTGAATCAACTACTGTAGAGAGCTGTGTTCAAAGTTGAAATTAATTAATATACTGTACATATGTACAGTAAATATGCATTCAAAGTCCTCATTAATGTGCCCAAAAAAGACTTGTGCATTTGTAAAAGGACAAAGAAAGAAAGAAAGAAAGTTTTACCGTGTTCTTGAAGGTGTACCACTGATTGCTCCCTTTAAACTGCCACTTTGGAGTTGTACTTGTTGAAGGGCTCAAAATGGTTTTTAATTGGGAGGTTATTCCAAGTAATCTGTTCAGTGAACACATTACACTTTTAGAAGCGCCAGTTATGTGTACTTCTATCTATCTATCTATCTATCTAATCTTTAGATTTAATCTTCATAAGGTAAAGAGGCAAACATAAATCTGTTCAGCAAGCTCTTCATATTTACCCTTCACTTTCAGATGGTTCATATTTAGGGCGGCGTCTAACATGCCTCTTACGGCCTGTAGATAAATTTCTCTGACACATTTCTGGAAACACAAAGACATTTATGATTGTGATCTTTCCTGTTTATGGAAAGGTATTTGAAGGAAACAGATGTGTGTGGGAGAATACAAAACAAACCTTTAAAGCTATAATTGTGTACTTAAATTTAACAGCTGACAGCCATTCAACCTAATTCATTACATAACTTTCTATCAAAGTAATCTGACATTATCAAGATAAATTTGTTCTGACACAGTTTAACTCTGAGTTCTTGTCATATTTTATCACCATTTTCTAAACTATAGCCAATAAACTGTGATATTGTGAGAAATGTTGAAGGTGTCTGAATACATTTTGGTTTGGCTG